TTTAGAGAAGAAAATCCTGAAAGCTGCAGTTTAATATTATGAATTATAGGTGAAAATTACACTCGCTACAGCTTCTCCCATTTTTAGATGCTAATACATGTAAATCTATAACTACACTTACTATGACCTTAAGTCTACTCATATGTATTATTGGAATTACCAACTAGAGATCAGAAATTATGGTAAATAAAAGTAAAATTTAAGAGATAAATTGTTCTGAATAGTGCATTTTATCACATTTTCGCGATATCTGACTGCATTTTATGTCTTTTTGGTCTTTTTAAGAGTCCATGCAGATATGAATACTTGATCTAGAGCTCTGAAATTGTCAATACCAGAATTTGGTAGCACTATGTCTTGATATCCTGTGTTTGGAGTCTAACCAAATCACAGATGTTGAGAAAAAAACAATAAGTAGCAGTTTCAATTCAAAATTAGTTGAAACGGCACTCGGGACAGATTTCCACATTTTTGAACACCTATTGATCGGTAAGTATTTACACTATGATCTTGAATCTGCGCATACGTATTCTTAATGGCACTATCTCATTGCCAAGGTACTGTGGAAACATTGTGCTTTATATTTCATGTGATAATAAGCACTGAAATGGACTTGTTGAATTTTGGCGGACCCCATACAAAACAAACATCAGGGAAGAAGGGAGGGGGGTTAAATGTTGATCAATTCTGCTATTTCTTGTGGCTATTGGTCATATACATGTAGTAGATCATTTTGTCAAAAGGTAAGGGTGATCCGAGAAAAAGTTGGTAAATTGAAACAGCCTATTAGATTTCATTATAATACATTGCACTAAATTGAAAGCGTATATATAAAAAATGTATAGTCCAAAATTCTAGTAATAAATGAATTACAATGTCAAGTAACAATTGAAGATGTTTTAAATGCATTGATTCGCTTTCTATCGATACAAGTTTTTAACAGTATGCTGCAAAATGATAACATCGACCACGCCCACTTTCCAGGGGTAGGGTACTAAAAAGTCATATTAAAAATCATAAATAGTACATTATCATTATTATAGTTGTATAACAATATCAAACAAAGCTTGAACTAGTTTCTAGAAAACAATTTTGAGCTATTTAAACTGCAATTTTTTGCTGGAAGCTACAAATATAAAATAGGTGAGACTTAAAAATGACTAAAATTGCATATTTGTTTCCTATTAATTGCAATATTTCTGAGACCAATACAGATATCGGCCTATAACTTTGGGGATATTATTATCTTTGGACTAGTAATGTTTGCAGTAAAAAAAACAGAACAAAAGCAAATATATCCTTTATGTTATGAAATAATCTTATAGTACCCCCTGAAATCGTAGGAATTGAAGTCCAATTTGGCCGTGAAAATTGTTTTTACCACTCTTAAGCCCATCACCTTATATTTTCTTACACCTACTAGGTTACTCTAACATACTGCATTGCCAAAAATTACTTCTTGCAACCTTCCGGCAAAAGTGTCCCAGCATCTGATACATTGGGCATATCCCTTTTGAATGAAAACCCCATCTATTGAACACCTCTATCATGTTCAGACCTCCTTTTGCACAAAGAGCGCTCTATTGAAAACCCCTGCCTCTGAAAACCTTTGTGAATATCCTTTTAATTAAAGACCCCTACCCTCTATTAAATTCCTCAATTAAGAATATCACGTCATTTGCTCATTAACATAAATTCTGACATATGACGTCACAGATTATTGTCAATGGGAAATTACTTTAGGGAAACTTTAAAAGTAAAGTGTGTGATAATTTACGAACTCGAATTTACTCGAAATGGTATATTATGCATGAGACTATTATGAGTAAAAATTGAATTCCCAACGTTAAAAAATAAGCTTCCCCCAGAAAAAACGTGTTTTAAAATCATTTTGCATGGGGAGTGGTGGCGTGACGTCATAGTTTTAGCGAAAATATGCTAAAAATGGGCAAATTCAACGTCTTTAACCTGCTGTAAATTTTTTTTGTTAATATCAGAATTTACTCGAAATGGTTATTGGAAGATCTTGATTGATATTACGTAATAAAAAAAGATCAATACCATGGCTTTAAAAAATAAGCTTCCCCCAGAAAATGAAAATGGGTCATTTATCAAATGAGCTTACTTTACCATTCTGGTTATAGTCTTGTTTTCAATACTATCAATTATCACATGCTCTGTAAAATTCCAGTAATCTGATTGGTTGATTACCGTGTGAGTTTTCCCGTCTCACACGGCCGTCTCACACGTTACTAGAGGCAACCAGTGATGATCAATAGCAACGATGTGACGTCACTGATTATATCACTTCTAGCCAAGGAGGATTGGAAGCCAGGGTTCCAACTCGATATTCTTTAATCTCCACGCATGCGTCATTTGCTATTCGTGTCTGTATAATTTGTACGACTGCATGGAGAATGACCCGATACTCTCCAACAAAGCTATCGCTAGGTGATTGTTTTGCAGAATATCGGTGTTGCATTCTGGGAGCCAATCCTCCTTGACTTCTAGCTAAGGAAAACAATATGACGTCATACTATTTCACAAACAAGTACGAATACAACGGTATGACGTCATATTGTTTCAAAGCGAAATCAAAAATTAAAATAATAGTTACCAGAAGTACTGAACACAATCATAACTGACCAAATCAAAATGCTTCAAAATTCCTAGACATGTGATAAAATCGTCATCACACGTTTCAGCTTATGTGATACAGGAAATATTCCACTCGGGTAACAATGTATCACCACTCAAGCTTCGCTTTCGTGGATGATACAGTATTTTATCACATGCTCTGTAAAATTCCAGTAATCTGATTGGTTGATTACCGTGTGAGTTTTCCCGTCTCACACGGCCGTCTCACACGTTACTAGAGGCAACCAGTGATGATCGATAGCAACGATGTAACGTCACTGATTATATCACTTCTAGCTTAGGAAAACAATATGACGTCATACTATTTCACAAACAAGTACGAATACAACGGTATGACGTCATATTGTTTCAAAGCGAAATCAAAAATTATAATAGTTACCAGAAGTACACGGGGTTCTGAACACAATCATAACTGACCAAATCAAAATGCTTCAAAATCCTAGACATGTGATAAAATCGTCATCACACGTTTCAGCTTATGTGATACAGGAAATATTCCACTCGGGTAACAATGTATCACCACTCAAGCTTCGCTTTCGTGGATGATACAATATTACCTTTCGTGGAATATTTCCTGTATCACATGCTGAAACGTGTGATAACTGATAACCTTTCGTGGAATATTTCCTGTATCACATGCTGAAACGTGTGATAACTGATAGTGTCATGTACGTACATTTTCCAAAAGTCTAATTAAATCAATAGATTGTTACATGATGTCTTAATTTTAATCAAAACACGAGATAACTTTTGGTTTCTATTTTCTTTATTTTTAATTACCAAGATAATATAATTCATTTAAAGATTTCAATTCAAAATCTCAACACAACTTCACCCCTAAGGTATTGGTGATGCCTGGGTCACATTTGCTCCGATTCATTGGACGGCGCCCGGCCGATTGAGTTTTTTGTTCAAAACTGAATAGAATTTTGAACATAATACTCAATCGGGGACCGGCCGATGAATCTGGTCAAATGAAACGTTCCCGAAAGGTAACAGCGGCTTGGTAGCCGTCTCTCTCTGGGAGAATCACTTTCTTCTTCGTAATTTACTTGCTTTCTAGCACGGAGTTTCAGCCCTATAATTCTAAAATGTTCAAATATGGCGCCCAATCTTGGTACACCAGACGAAAAGCGCATTAAAGTCGAATTCCCGGGGAAATTGACTAATATACCATTGACGTGATTGGATAATCGAGATGTGACGTCATGTAATTATTCACATAAACAATCAAAAAAGCAGGTGGTAAAATGACGTGATATTCTTGATATGTCTCTTTGGGATAAATTGCTTTTGATTAAGACCTCCTCTATTGAACACATGTCTCATGTGCATACCCCTTTCGAAGATTAACACTATTGAATACCTCTATTTTGTTCATACCCCTCTGAATGAAGACCCCCTTCTATTGAACACCTTTATCCTGTTCATACTCAACTGAATGTAGACCCCGTTCTTTTGAACATTTCAATTCTCTGCATACCCCTTTTGAATGAAGATCCCCTGTATTGATCACGTCAATTCTGTTCATACCCCTTTTGAATAAAAAAGCTCCCTCTCTTGAAAACCTCTGCCTTGTGAATATCTCTTTTGACTTAAGGCCTCTTCCGTCAATCTCCCATTCCGTCTTTTTGGCATATAACATTATTTCTACATATTTGGATGAAAGCCCCTCTTGTGAACACCTCTCTCCGGTGCATACCCGATTTGCATGAAGATCCCATGTGCACACCGTGAACACATCTCTCTTGTGCATACTCCTTTTAATCAAGACTCCCTCTATTCAACACCTCTCTCCCATGCATATCCTTTTTGGATGAAGACCCCCCCCCCTATTGAACACTTCAAACCCATGCATAACCTTTTTAATGAAGACCTTCGCCCTCTTTTGAAAACCTAAATCCTATTCATACCCCTTTTGAAACAAGACACCTCTATGTTGAACACATCTATTATTTTCATACCCTTTTTGAATGAAGGTACCCAATTTCAACAGTTTTTCCAGGCATACCCATTTATAATGAGAATCCCCTCGATAGAACACCTCTCCCCGTACCGTGTATACCACTTTTCGGTGAAGACCCCTAAGTACTATCGAACACCTCTTGTTGGTGCATATCCATTTTGAATGAAGATTCCCTCTATTTGACACCTCTCTCCCGTGCATATCCCTTTAAATTAGGACTACCTCTAGTGAACACCTCTCTCGTGTTCATACTTCTGTTGAATGAATACTCCCTCAAATGAACACCTCTTTTCAATTCAATACCTCTCTTTAAAATCAGATCACTACTGATATAACCATTTTTATAATATTTCATGATGTAATTGAATTATGCTAGGCTGGAATGATGTTGGATGGCGTAATGAACAGGTACTGACACCTAACCTTGATAAGTTGGCCAGAGAGGGTGTTATTCTAAACTCTTCATACGTTCAGCCAGTCTGCACACCGTAAGTTGTTTCAAAGTCCATAGTTCCCTACATGACTGTGTCACACATACAGCAAATGTTAAAGGAACAAGATCAAATAGAAGCGTGTCATTTGTACAAATCTATATTATATTATATTAATATTAATTGGGAGTAGAAAATTTTATACATTATTGTTTATGCCTAAAAGTTTCAGAGAGGATAGATTTTATGATGTTTAAACAATTTCAAAATGTGACATCTTGATCAAACACTTCAGAAGTTCAGTATCAGTTTTATAATTAGTCACAATCTATACCTGTTCTATCGGATATGCTGTTCGCACTTAACTGCTTCGAATCAATCCAGGTTATTTTTATTGGTGAGAATACCTGAGAATTGTACCATTTATTCACATTGTATCATGATTTAATTTTTATTCATTCGTTAATTTAAACAGAAGATAAAAACAGAAGATAAATACTAATAGACAAATAATACTAAATATAATAGTTAACTTAACAAAGAACACGTGGCGCATTGTACGGCTAGAAATCCAGGACTTTATGGTTCCAATTAGGAGTGGCTACTGGCGGCCACATTGGATTTTTCTCTGTTAAAACCTTGTCTTTTCAACTGATTAGATTTCGGCTTTCAGGATGAAAATGTGCAGTATATACTATATACGAGTGTGTGAAATTTGATTTTTAAATAAAGCTGTTATTCATGCATTTAGACCATCGCTTTTGTTACATCGACGTAAGTCGTCAAAGTAACATACATTCATTTTGTAATATAACGGACTTTCGTCAATGTAACAAAAGCAAAGGGGTAAATATATGAATTGCAGCTTCACTTACAAAACAAATTCCAAATTGAAGAAACCTATTGAAACTGGACTATATTATAATAAGTAGGTTTAAATTGAGAAAACAAAAAATCGTAACTAGGAAGTTCATCCATCTTAAGAAATCTCAATGTAAACTCCCGCTTTCTTCCGATTATCCTAATCAATACCGATTTTCTCCTGATTATTTTTGCAAACCCCGATTTCCTCTCGATTTTGATTCCCGATTATCCCAAACAATCCCGATTCTCTCCCGATTATTTATAGAAATAGCGATTTTCTCCCGATTTCTTTTTAAGAAATCCCAATTTTCACCCCGATTCTTCTATAAAACATCTCGACACTCCGATTTTTAAAACGAAAATATCCCGTTCTTTATTTTTTACTTGACAGGAATGATATAGGATCATCCGTTAGGGACATGATGTATACATTTGTGTTCTTGTTTTGTTTGTAGGTCAAGAAATGCTTTCCTTACAGGATACTTCCCTTTCCACACAGGATTACAGGTAGGAAAGAAAGAGACAAATACTCTTTTCAAAAGGTTAGAAAAAATCAAAGGAGAGGGACAAAGACTCTTTTCTAAAGGTTGGAAAAATCAAGGGAAAGAGACAAATAATCTTTTCAAAAGGTAAGAAAAAATCAAAGGAAAGAGAGACAATTACTTTTTTAGAAAAGTAAGAAATAATTCAAAACAGCCAAGTTCTCTTTTCAAAAGGCGAAAAGTGAAATCAAAAGGGGCCAAGTACTCTTCTCTAAATGTAGGAGAGAAATCAAAAGAGCTAAGCAAGGGGCTAAGTACTCTTTTCAAAACGTAAGAAAGGAAATAAAAACAACTGGACAACCTTTTCAAAATCTAAAAGAAAGATCATAAGATGTAGGTAACCTTTTCAAGAGGCCGGGGCCAGGAGGAAATCACAATTTATGCCTTTTTAGTCAAGGGAATCGAAAATTATGCTCTTTTAGTCAAAATTCATGATAATGCTTTTAGAATTATTAGTGCATATCTCTAGTATGCATTTGTTTTTTTCTTGCTTATAAAAGTAAGATATGAAGCTGAACTAATTATACCCCTTTCACTCTTGCAATAGTTGAATACGCCTCGGGCACTTTGGCCATTATTTTTCCTAACACCCAATACTCATTGTTTTTCACTAACATAAATACTCGGCATATATGATGTTTGAAAGAGATATTGATTACTGTTGAAATGAAATAATAAATTACCTATTGTACTCTATATCAAACGACACAGGTATACGCCTTTGTGCTCACAGAATTAGCTTTTCAATGTAGTACCCCAGACATGTTCAATGATAAAGTATTTATTTCCTCTAAAATGCCAGGGAAACAATCATTTTTGATGCATAAATACCTGAGAGAAATTCCAACTGAATTCCAAATGAATTTTCAAATTGCAGAGCCCTTTATAAAAGAGGTGAAACCAATCCACCTAAGGTGGATCAGACAACGTATGCTAAAAAATAAAAAAGGACAAAACATTAATTAGGTGAAGAAAACCTATACGTAGAAGAGGTTCTGTCACTTTAACGTGACATTTGCCGAGTTCTGCAAATACCCGACCTTGGGAGGCTCTATATTTTGGTAAGAAAGAACCACAATTCTTACACCGCGAACGTGAAATCTTTAGCCGCGCACCACCATTTTGTTGTTTCCGAACATATTTCTTGACCCGTGAACAGAGATCCGTAACTGTGAACAATTTGATAAAATATCCGGGTGTTTGTGATTCCAAGATATATGCCAATATGTAGTGGTGTGTGATAGCTGTGGTGGACCAGAAACTGTCTTGACACTTGTGCATCCCGACGCCCATTTTGTGACGGTGAAAGATTAGACAGATAAAGTACTTTTAGCCCTTACCATAATAATAGTCAATTGTTATTTTCCTGTATGTATGTAAGTGTTAATCATACAAGCTCCAAGGGGAGGGGGGACATTTTAAAGCTAAGTTTCTCTCTAAATATGTTAGCGGTTACGAAATTCTGTGCTCGGGTCGAGAAATATGTTCGGAAACAAGGTAGTGGTGCTGTGTGGTTAAAGATTTGAGGTTCGCGGTGTAAGAATCGTGATTCCAGTGCAAGGAACGTAGTTTCCGGTATCAGAACTTATGTTCGCGTTGTTGGAACTCTAGGAGACCTGTATATGGTGTGGGAGGTAGATTGAAGTCCATTTAGGAAGGGGCAACAGATTAAACAAACCCTGGCAAAATGTGCTAAAATACGAGAGAACATGTCCTACGGAAACACGTTTTTTAATTGCCCAATGCATAATTACTATATATTCTGAATATAACTAACATGAAAAAACATAACTGGAAAACAGCAACTATACGGAGTATTTAATCCCATTGAAAGACATGTATTTTGAGATATCTTGATAATATATTCTTGAACAGAGTTCTTTTGTTCCCTCGGTATCAGCATTTTAAAGTTTGAACCAATTCGCCAAAATGCTTTTTCAGTTATCAAAGATTTGGTTTTTACAAGATCCATTGTTTAAAGGCATGCAGCATATAGCATTTGAACATAATCCGTCCACTATTATTTGAGTTATCAAAGATTACGTTTTTATTAAATTGACGGCCATTTTGAAATTCAGCTGCCATCTTGAAAATCTCTTCCTTAGCAAAGCTCGTTTGTCCCGAGGCATCGACGTATGTTTGAGCCAATTCGGTTTACTATATCCGTCAATGGCATTTGAGTTATCAACCGGGCACACTAACCGATGGCTTTTCTATATCCCCTCGGACTTCGTTTGGTAGCATAATCGGCTATAATAAATTTAGCAACAAACCCATCAGAAAAAACGTTGAGTAGCTGATAATCAAATAGCTAGTATATTTAAAATGACGTTAAAAACTCATTTGTCCAAAAATCCTGTATTTATAGACAAAGGCATATTTCTTGAAAAATTATGATATAATCGTTAATCCTAATGTGTGCAGGGGGTGTCAATCCGGTTACAAGTACTTTTGGCAGGCTATTCCAGTGTGAATATGCTATATTTCATAAATATCGAGCCACAATAGACTAGATGCGAGTAGATATTATCTTGATTTACGTCATTAAAAATTCAAAATTCAGTCAAACTGATGTCATATTTGGAATCTACATGTACAATTACATCTAGAAATGTGGTTTTGAAAAGAGTTGATCAACTTTGAAAATTTAATTTTCTTTGAAAATGTAACTTCTAGGTCGGGGAGATTCCCCATAGAGCCCATGTTGTAAAATCACAAAAAGCGAAATATATTTTCTTGTGTTGGGCATATACTATTTTCTTTTACTGGACATATTTTAATTTGTATAACTATCAGATACAAAAGGGTAATATGAAAAGTGAACCACTAAACTGATGAATATTCAAGTTTAAGGGATTTTTTTTATACCCTGCCATGTTATTTCCCCCGAATCAGTCACCTGATGGCGACACTGGTAATTACCTACTCGCATCTGAGTAATTGACCATGTTATTTGTTTTAAAAGGTAAAATACAGTAAATTGTCACGAATTTAAGAGAAAACGTTTTTTTTCCAAGACTGGTCAATGGATATATTCGAAATTTTGTTTTGCGTACTCCTTAAAAGTCTATACAAACTTTTGTAACAAAATTATGATAAAAACTTTTTTCAAATTTTAGATGAATTTTAAATTCTCCCCTACCCCGGACTTTTGAAAATCACTATTTCGATGTTTGTGCCGTTAGTAGGTGGTTGGTAGGCAACATCATGGGCCGAAATTATATTGGAAGAATACCAGTCATACAATTTTACAATATTACATCTGTAATGTTCAACACGGGGTCACACTCGCCTAGCCGTGACACAAAACTACAAGATTTTAGATATACTAAGGTAGCGTTTGGCCTAGACTAGGAAGTGTGATGGGTGTTAAGAATTTTCTTTACTGGTTATCTAATTGTCGTATTCAATAAATGATAGCACAAAATAATATGATTTGATTATATATATTATCTAACTGTATTATAAAACTAATATAATGATATGAAATATGTACGTATACAATGATGAACATTTACAATAAAGTCTACAGAATTGTATCAGGCATGTTGTTTCAAATAAGATACTGTAATAAATTCAAGAACAGTTTTCGATCTTATTAACAATGCACCGAATACATGCCTTACAAAAAACAACAACAACAGAACTCTCTGCCACCTATCTTCAAGAATATTTAGTTAAAAGTGCATGTGCATTAAACACCTGATCATAAAAAAACATTTCTATCACAGACAACATACAATAGTTGTGATGATCATAAAATTAAGCTCAACAATGGTTAAAATCATTGTGAAAGATAGGGAAATTGAAATAGAAGTTCAACCTTAAAATCTATCTTGCTAAAAAATAATAACTTCAAGCAGTTGAAACTGAGAATGTTCTTAACATCCAAATGATCTTACCAAGTAATCACATTTCTGACATCCAAATGATCTTACCAAGTAATCACATTTCTGACGACACCTTCGTGTCAAAGCATATCCTAAAGTAACTATCCTAACTGGACTTTTAATTCACCATTTCGGATAATTCAACTGCACATTAACTTTCAGTCTAACTCCATCTTGTAATCAACAGCCTCACTTGACCAGCAAACCCCTAAATTCCAGTACTCTAATATGTTACTAACAGACAGAACTCTAAGATCTACAGAGTCTTCAAACTATTCTTTAATGAGTTTTTGCCACCAAATTCAAAAGTTAGAGAAGTTAAAGTGAACTTTATAAATCTTACAAAATAAACCAAAAGGCAATCAATGACACTTCAAAAATATTTGTATTAATTGAAATTGGCCATAAATAATTAAAGTGACAACTAGGGTTGTTACACATTTGCATACAAAATTACTGATTGGTATTTGTTACTTATCTTGAAATATGAATGCTTAAAGCTGCACTATACTTAATTTAGAAGAAAAGTAAAAAAGTAATCATTTAAACGTGTTACTCACACACTAGCTCAAATATGACACAAAGTTTGATTTGCTTTGATATTGAACTAAAAAACTCACTAAGTAACTAAAGTAACTCACATAGAAAAAAGCATTTGTAGTTCAGAGATCATTAGAAATGCATGCACATGTTAAACAAAGTGCATGTTTTAAATTACTGTTGATTTAAAAGATGGCGACACTTCTATAAAAATGAATGTATCATGTGATACAAACAACTCTGCCATCTGACATTGACATTGATAAAAACCTGATATATAAAGCTTGACAGTTCGAAAATATTTTTTGATAATTTATTGTAAGCTTTGATGTGGTTCATTTGAGCTGCTGTTGGTGTCAAATGAAAGATAAGTTTCTTATCAAAAAATTTAACATACTATGAAATTTAGATGTAAGTCTTCATTTTTCCCAAAAATGTTGTAAATTCCCAAAGTGCGCCTTTAAGATAAAAACAAGTTGAACTTGTTGGGTTGCAGACATACATATATATACATATATATATATATATACATGTATATCATTATAAGGTTAATATTCATGTTGATAATTGTCTCTAGAACAAATCTTAAAAAGTTCAGTGAAAATGTTTTATTCATTGAAAATAAAAAAACGACTGCATCAATGAACCTGTCCGGGGTACTACAATATGGATTTAATTTCACCCAACATCTTCAATTTCAGTTCCTGTTTAGTTGAGTGAAATATTTCACCTTATCTTCGATTTTTTGTAGCATTTTGTAATATTTCCACCTCAACCCTATGGATTGCCGCTGAAATTCACACTACTTCCCGAGAGGCTGCGTAAACTTGGTTATGACACACATATGGTGGGCAAGTAAGTTAGAGGAGGCGTGTTTTGCTAATTGGGTGAGGTATGGGATAAAAGAACCCAAAACAACCACCCCTCCACTTGATGTTTTGGATTTGTTTTCCTTTTGACTGGCGTACACTTGGATGGTTTCTGTTTCTTGCTGTAGACATGCGGTTTGTTACGATCACAAACTACGTGCCTAGCAACAAAGCAACATACAAGTTGAAGTCGGTATTTTCATATATTTTTAGACGTTTACACTCCATTGTTTTTGTTTAATGTGTCCATGCAGCGGCGAATATAGTAATCCTGACATGTTGAATGATGCAGTTGTGTTTTCTCTAGAATAAATCTTAAATATTTCAATAAGAATGGTTGTGCCATTGCAAATATAGAGTAAAAACACGACTGCATCATGCAACCTGTTCGGGGTACTATGATGTATGATTCTACCCTTTGATAGAAGGTAAATATTTTCCCAGTTCTCATATAAAACACAAACTATTTTGAATTTACTGAGAAGATCATGAGATAAAAAGAGATAAAACAAAAACGGTGTGTCTATTTTAGCCAGCAATCACAAACTGTAATTCATACTATCCTAAGGATGAGTCTGGGAATGAGTCTGGGTATCGACTTAGAAAATATTGAAAATTCTAATGTCCGAAAAACCAACTCAATCACACATATTATTAAACTTCAATATCTTATCCTTATTCTGAGAAAATATCAATTTGTATCACAATTGATGAAGAATATTGGCATCAAATACAATGCATATCACTTTGCCAGAATTGAAAAAAAATCAATGGCAAATATTAAATGAATAATTTATACAAAAAGTTTGAAACATACGAGGGGTGATCCAAAAGTCTTGGACGCTCTGCTCTGTTTTTGTTGGTTTTTGATAAAATTACTTTAAACTTTCCAATAATAAAGACCAACAACCTAACTACTTTGTGTATTAATTTCATGGAGAAATGATATACTTTGTATAGTTTTCTAGATAGTCTTTTATACAGCAACCCTGCCACCCGGAACGGTATTCGCACATAGCAACTTTCAGCCTTAAATGTTACCGCCATTTCACTTGTTTCGCAAGTCTTGACCACTATATTTCTTTGAATTTTGAATGTTAAACCATGTTAGTTTACTTCCTTTGTTACGATGCAACCAATTGATTGTGTTTTAATTATAATGTCACATATGACAATGGCCGTATGTGTCAAATTCTAAGAAAATGACATCAGAGAAGCAACCCTCATTCTGGTATCAATTTTGCTGCAAGATGGCTGCTGAAATGCAGAACACGAAAGAAATCAAAGTGGAACAAAAAAATACTTCAATATATTTTCACTATTATTGATCTTGAGCAGCTACCACATGCACAATACAGTCTATCTATGGCTCCATGTGATTTTCTTCCTTTTCTCCAAGTTGAAAGGATGGTTGAAGGGAAATGTTTTTTATTACTCATTGAATGAGGTTTAGAGTAGCACTCCAGCAGCATTTGTATCATGTAAGCAATGACGGTTTCATAAATGTCTTCCATTCATTGGTAAAGAGGTATGAAAAATGTGTTCAAATTCGTGGAAAATATGTTGAAAAGTAGGTCTTCATATGTGAAGATGATGATGGCAGATGACACTCAGATTGAAAATCGAAAATACTCTCATATCATGACTGATGTTAGGTTGTACACCTGCACCTAAAGTATTTGCCATATTATAACAGTTGTGACGTGATTTGCTATATTTAAATACCGTTCCGGGTAGCAGGGACCCGGTATTAATAGATATGTAGAAAAGTAGCTAAAATATATTATTTTCTGTTGAAACTTATATATAAAGTTGTTAAGATGTTGATCTTTATTATCTGAAAGTTTCATGTAATTATTTTAAAAAATAGCAAAGTTAGAGCGGGGCGTCCAAGACTTTTGGATCACCCCTCGTATAATACAAAAAATTGCTTACTTTCTTTGTATAGACATTGAATGGTATTTCTGGATAAGTGAATTTGTGTTTTTCTGAGTAATCAAGGGATTATAGTCACTCAAAGTTACTTAGCATCCAGTTTTGACACTTCAATTGTGTTGGTGAAGTTACACATATTTCAGTCAAATTCATGCTGAGCACAACATTTTGGTTTCAATCTTATTATCTCAAAACATGACCCTGGTGATGAAGAGTCGGAACCAATCAAAAAACCTAAACCGGAAACTGTGCTCATTGTGACAATTAAAGGTGAAGCAACTATTTTTATGAAATTTCTTACATCAAATGGCAGCCATCTTGTTTTTCCTCCTTCAAATTAAACTGGCGGGAAATTCAAAAAATTGAAAAAAAAATTTAATCCTTAAATATATTTCAAAAATATGATTTCCTTCTTTTTAATTCTTCATGGGTCTTAAGTTATTTCTTATTTGTATGTCATGCATGTTGCCATTGGTGTTTTTTCTTTGATAATTACTAATTGTTTTTTGTTAGGATACTTATTCTGACTCTCAGCAGGGGGTTAATTATGCATCAAAACTCAAATATGCTTATCAAATATAACTAGGACAGTAATAAAAACCATATTTCACATACATTTAACTGAGGGATCAAAAGGGCATATATCCGGACTCATCCTTTCCATGGAATTTCTATGACTCATGAAGACAATCGCTAGTAATTGCAGACACGCGTGCTTTAATTAAAGAGATACACGGGTTTGGCGCTTACGTTTCTGACAATATAAAGGCAAACTTGGATATGCACGCATTTTGATAGTTTTTTTCAAATAACGTTTATGGGTTGTAAATGTTTTAGATACAATTTACACTGTTGCTCATAAATATGGAATATTTTATAGATACGAACTGTTCGATGGAATTTCTACAAAATGATATTAACATTTTGATCATTTGGCGCATGTGTACAGACGCAAAACACATTTTGATTTTGTTTGATCATGTGACAATGGCATAAAAAGTCACATGATCACCGTTGTTCGTTATTGCAACTTCAAACCGACGAATTAATTTATGCAAATCAATAGGTTAAGCCGCTATTTGCATTCGCGAATACAAGCTTAGTCTCCGCATACTTGTATTGTTTAATGAACGAAACCGACCTAGGTTCGGGGTCCCTTTGGAAGATGTGTCTGTTTTTAGGTGGCATCTTGGTTTCTGTAAATGGGAGTACACCCCTACATATAGAGGCTTCGACACTTTTTTGGGCTATTATAACGGAGAGGAACACTATTTCAGCCATGATTACACATATCAGAACAGTAAGTGAATTTATGTATGTACCCATAAGGACTAACATGGAATGAAAATATTGTCCCGACATTGCAATGCAATTAGACTTTTGCAACGGTCTCCTTATGTTACAAAGATTTATCCCTTTCCATTAATAATTCCAAATGTGTGTTGTTCTTGAAATATTATAGCTGTGCAACTGGCGATTCCCGAAATGTGCGTAGAATTAACATTATAGCTTTTTACATTGAGAAACTTTAAAGACATCAAGCAGGGATCTCTATCAACTGAAAGTCAGTGAATCATAGTCACTAACATTACATTTTAATTTCAGAAAAAGGTTTTGACTTAAGAAATAACACGAAACCGTTAAGGGAAGCAACGGGTGATTATTCAGCTGTAAGTTTTCATATTATATTTTTTCATGTATAGGTTATTCGGACATTAATCACATACTAGTTCTTGACTTGACTTCTTCAGCTATTGACATGGACAAAGTTAAATGTTGGTGTATCTCGAGAGCTCTAATTGACTCTAATTCAAAGAAAAAATAAAAAGAGAAAAACAAAGAAAAGGAAAAAACAAAGACAACACAAATGAAAAAACAGATAAAGAGAGAAATATGCTAGAAAATAGGTAACACCCTAACCAACAGCCAATTTGGCAGCGATTTTGGCAGCCATCTTTGATTTTCATCAAGACAACAATTTAAAAATTAAATGTACATGTAAATATTCATTTTGGCAGCCATTTTTGTGATCATTTTGGATCTAATATGAGGAAAGATTAAGATGACTTTGGTAAAGTCTGAATTGAAACCATTTTCTCCTGAAATCTAGTTTCAGATATCTATAACATTACTTTTCTAACTTTTCTATGTGCTCATTTTAGCAGCCATATCTTTGGCCATTTTGGCAGACATTTCAAATTTCTAGCCTATGTAAAGGTATTCTTTAATCACTTAGATTTATCCATGGATCGAATCCTTAACCTCTAAACCCCTATCATGGTCTGCAAAAGCACTTTTTAACTGTTCTTTGAGTTTAAATAAATAGTTTTCATTTTGGAACACATTTTGGTGGCCATCTTGGATTTCCATGTAAAGTACATGTAGTTCTATTTTTACTTAGATTTAGACACAAATAAAATACTCAGCCTCTAAAACCTATTCATGGTGTCAAAAGTTACCTTTAACTGTTCTTTGAGCCTTTTTTAGCTTATATCAAAAGTAACATATTTGTTTTGAGACCCATTTTGGTGGCCATCTTGGATTTCCGTACAAAGCAATTATTTGTTGACTTAGATTTCGACATAAATGCAATCCTTGACCCCCAAAACCCAGAAATAAACATCAAAATCACTGTTTTTGCCTCTCATTATACTAAGATATGATTTCTTTTATTCGATAAAAAGGGCAAAGTGGCCATTTTGAAAAATGGGAGATAACCCCATTAAGCTACCACTGCTGAAATGCTATCTTACTCTGGAGGTATTTACCTTGTAAAAATCACTATGAATATTATTCCCTTACCTTGGTACCGATAACCTACATTTTGGGGTTAAGCTGATAGCCTAAATGTTTAAATGAAAAAAAAAAAGATTTCAATTCGTCATGTTGCTATAGTAACAAAAATATCCATTATGACATCGTATAACAATGAAACTGTGTCCTACTTATAATTGCATTTCCCATTTACCCTAAATTTTTCAAGTAAATTGACCAAGAAATATTAAAATGATAGACAAACTCCCACACTTAGTGATCACTTTGTATAAATTGAATTATAATAAGACAACTGTTGACAACATTTACTTTTATTATTCAGAATATCTATGCAACCAGAGCTATTGAGATCTTGGAAAATCATAACAAATCCAAACCACTCTTTCTCTACTTGCCATTCCAGTCAGTGCATGCACCCCTCGAGGTGAGTTAGAACACATACCTGTAAACTGCAGCAATAGAACACAAAATACAGTTTATTACCCTTTCTCCTATGTATGTATATATATTTTGATTTATTGAATTTATTGTATTTTAGAAAAGATTTGTTATGATATCAGTTATAAAGCTGTCAACATCTTGACAATTTGCTTGAAAACTCAAATGTCGAACTATTCAATTCTCATTTTCATAGTTGCTCCTTGAACATAATCTACAACATCTCCATATCTCAAATGGACTTCATTCAGCGGAAAATAATAGTGACCAATAATAATATTCGGTCTAGAGGAATTTATGGGCATCTAACTGTCACAAATAATGTTCCCCTATGCCCAGAATAATTTTCCATTAACTTTGTTTACCTGCAGGTACCTGAAAGATATAAAGACCTTTACCCTGCCGTCAAAACTCAAGCAAGAAGGACCTACCTTGGTAAGCCTTATAACTGTTAGATCACTGAACAGAATGACTTAAGACACATTTAGTAACTCGTTATTCGCAATTAAGATGTGGAGTTGAACCTTTTATTAGTAGTATCCGGAAAATAGTGAATTGAGAAATCTCAGTTATCTCTAAGATGAAGTATGACACAGTATTTAGTCTAATATACTAATAATACAACACCAATACATCGTGTAAAAGTGATTTAGTCAAGTGGTTTGTGAGTTTAGTCTCAAAACTGGCAACAGTCAACTTATACATCACCGTGATGTAGAAGTAGAATGTATAGGTTGATTCGGGCGTAAGTTGTGTATCAACCTTTTTGTAGTATGGCGTGCCCTTGGATGACCTGCTTTTTGTTGTTGAAAACACAAGGGCCTATTGTTCTTTTTGTGATACCTAGGGGAAAACTCGTTAAATATTATCCAAGTGACTTGCGCCGAGGGCAGTTCAAAAGCCCTGCCTTAATTTGAGTGTTTATGTAAAGTACTTCAGGTTGCTTGACTGAGTGGTCCACAACTCATACAAAAAACTGTGACATGTACTTGGATGTCTGTCTTTGAGTGCACATAAAAGAACACATGACTCCTTTAATGAATGGTTTCTGGGTCTTCCTTCCATATATTTTATATTTAGCTCTATAGAGATTTTGTACCCAATGGATGGAAAACATTATTTCAGGAGTGATGTAAGTAGGATATGAGTGGTGTGTTAGTGATATTTAAGGGCTTTGAAAATGATGTATTAGTAGGCTATTAGTGATGTATTAGTAGATTATCACGTTTCACTTCGATCGAGCAATAATTTTTATCTCATTATCATAGTGATTTTTGAACTAGTATACCGCCTGGTTGAGCCATATAGATCATCTAAAATATTACTTACTAAGCTGAGATATCAACCAAGGTTATGTACAACTACAAGGGTTTGGATAATCTGCCTTGTGTAAGACCTTCACTAGACTGTGATTTAACGGATGAAAAATGTTCTGATTCATCAAATCTAGTATTCATTCTCCATTTAAAGGTCATGTGATCTCATGTTCAGAATGAGGCTTTGACCTCTCAATGTAAACCAATAGAGGTATTGTACACGTTTTTGATGATATCATCAAGGTCAGTTCACAATCAAGAATTTGGATGATGAATTATCAGAACTGACATATAGGCTTCAAAATGAGAAATCTCTGGTATCCCACAGTTATACAAATTGGCATTATCCTAGTATCTAGCTGAGGTGTTATTTATATGAAAGGATACAAATCAATATGGTGAACGAACTCAATTCAACGATATTTTTCTCTTAAACTAATTATTGAAAACAGTTTGTAAAAACACGGTATTTTATATAATGTTGACTGATTGGCAACAATTTAATGCAAAAATTATTTATATGCATTTTTATATAACTGTTTTTGTTAACATGTTTTTTCGTTTTTTAGTGCAATTGTTTTTTGTTCCTTTCTACCACGAATTCTTGGGAATGAAATAAAATGTCTTTCTGAACCTTGTTGGAACAAAATAGCATATGCAACATTTTCTTAGACCTCTCAATATTATAGTTAGGCAAAGGAAATATTGGTTGATTTAACAAAAAGTATGCAAAAACTTAAATCAAAACCCCCAAAATAGATAAAAATTAAGATAAACTTTTATTTCATTAAGAAGATACTTTTTTAAAATCAACCAAACTTTCCTTTGTATAATTACAATATTGAGAGACCTAAACACGTTGTGTTCATGTCGTTTTGTTCCAATGAGGTTCGGATAGATGTTTCATTTCAATCCGAGGACAAAAGAAGTGTTTAATGTGTTTTCTAAAACAATATAGAGAAATATATAGTAGCCCGGACAGAATTGTTCAATGGTCACTTTTTCTTTAATAACTTTTTTAATTTTCAGTGTTATCAAAATCTGATTACATATTTGAAAACTAGAGTAAAATTCTGACATACAAAAAACACATTTAAGGAACATCTCTTAATTTATTGATATTATAGGCGTTCATAGTATGACTGACGCAAATGCATAATTCATCATTTTGCCTCATATTTGTTCAAAATGGCGGCATATTTTGTGAATTTGAATGTTCAGTTGAAAGTTAATATTTAAAGATTGTCAAAGGACTATAGGGCCATGCTGCCACCGTTACAATCCTGATGTAATGCTGTAATGCATCAACTGACCAATCATCAAATACAAGAAGTCAACTCCCTCCAAGGGTATATGAAATCAACTCTATTGAAATGTTCGGGGTTGTGTTCAAGAGGATGTTAAAAGATGGCGCCCCAATGTGCAGGGTGTGACGAGAGAAGGTCCTCGATCTTTTCAAGAGCTCCAAACAGCCATCTCAGAGGCCATCGAAAAGCTGAAGAACAATTCATATGCATGCCAAGGATGGGTCAAGAGGCGTGTGACATTACGAACTGTGGCAGTATGACCCTATAGTTACACACGTTAAATGAACTAGGGTTGCTAATCCACTACGAGTAACAATAGAATGGCCAAAAAACTTTAAGTCCTGCGACCTTACCAATATACTGTACATACAATGTACAAACCTTTTTAAGTACTGGTATACATGCAAGTCAATTTCAAATAAAAGGTTATAAATGCAGTCATTACCTCATACCAAAGCAGCAGTCTACATGATTTCATAGGCCTATGCTGTTTCTTCAATATTAACTTTCAACTGAACATTCAAACCACAAAATGTGCCGCCATTTTGAACAAATATTAGGCAAAATTGAGAATTATGTATTTGCGTCACTCGAACTATGAACGCCTATAATATCAATAAATAAAGAGATGTTACTTAAAATTTTTTTTTGTATGTCAGAATTTTACTCTAGTTTTCAAATATGTAATCAGATTTTGATAATTCTCAAAATCAAAAAAGTTATTAAAGAAAAAGTGACCATTGAACAATTCTGTCCGGGCTACTATATATATAATATACATATATTTAAAATTATCATATTACCATCCAGAAGATGACCATTAAATTTACGATGTGTAAAATTTTCAGAATGTTTTGATGACTGGTTTAAGAGAAACGCGAGTTTGACATAACTGCCTACATTTGTTCTATATGACTTCATGTTAATGGCAAAAAGTGCTGTGTTAACGACAATAACCCCTTACAGATCACTTTGGGTCATGGTCAACTAGTTTATCATTAGTAGGCTATCAGTGGTATATTAGAGAGATGTGGCAAGCTGTTTTTTACTTGGGGATTTTTTAATTCTAGCCATGGTGTCAGCCTTAGACGAGGCTGTTGGAAACATTACTGACACACTGAAGAAATATGGATATATGGATGACACATTGATTGTTTTCACAACTGATGTAAGCAAAACTGACACATCTTAAAATTTCCATTTGGGCAGATAAATTATATTTGCCTTGATCTTTTAGCTATAGAGGTGCCATTTTTGGCAATTCCTCTGACCTGGAATTGATGATATTTCACAACTCCAAAATTCAATATGTGATATATTAACTTAAATTGTTATTTTTTAGAATGGGGGCCCTGTTAACTGGGGCGCCAACAATTGGCCCCTTAGGGGTGCCAAAGTGACACTTTGGGAGGGGGGTACCAAGGCGTCTGCATTTGTACATGGACCGATGCTCAAAAAGAGGGGTTACACAAACACAGGGTAAGTGTGTTTAAAAGGCTTTAACTTAGCAATTTATGTAAATGATATTTTGATGAATTGATAGATGGCATAAGATGCTCATGATGAATGATAAATATATGTATACGAGGGTTGTCCAAGAAGTAATGCACTATATGCTGTAACTTTCTTTAATATTCTTAAAATCAGCTGAAATCTTGTGTGTATAACAATTGAAGTTTTATATATTATATCCTGAAGTGTCAGCATCAAATATTAATATTAAGTCTTAATATGATATATACCGGGTGTGCTAAACAACTTATTTTAAAAGGCTGGAAAAGTATCATAACATTAAGTTATTGGCATAAAAAATCATTTACAGAAACTTAATAGGTATCGCAAAACCTTATGGATTAACAGATATACGCGTGGACAGTCTGGACACGACGTGTGACTTCAGGCTGATTGACCAATCAAAAACGTTATCAGGTTGACCTGCATAAGCGAAGCAATCTTCCCGATTTGAAATTCAATGCCGATGATCTGATCGATCGTTTCTTTAGAGTTACAATATATTATGTAATTAAATGTACATAGGGAATGTAAGAGTCATTAATATAAATTAGATATATAAATTAAATCATGCAATAGATTTAAAACTGATTTCGCGATGAAAATACAAGACCGAGTCCAATGTAGCGGGTCATGTAGTCGATCAGTGGTTGAATCTCAGCCTACATGTTCATTTGAATTCAGCGATCGTTTTAACGTTTATTGTTGAAATCTTCTCACCTCCGGTTACCGATCGATGCTCCGGCATCCACTAAACTCTGATTGATATTTATCTGATAAAATATTTGTATTTTCATGATGAATTCATGCAAGTTTGTTCGTGAAAAGTCCCGGCGAAAAGTAAAAAGTGTACTTGTTTTTGACCTTGCATAATAATGAGCTAACGCTGTAGGGCCGTCGCTGATTGGTCAAATTTTACCGACATAAACATTGAGTCGGTAAAGCACGTGGCTTTCTCTTTGGTACAAGGCGGTCATAATAGAAATCAAGATAGTAAAAGAGACCGACTTGGGCAAGGCTACCATCAAAATACTAAAGCTAAAACTGAATTCAATTTTTTGTCAAATCTTTGAATATCAATGTTCAATCGCTAATATGTCCGAGATTTACCGTTTTCCTAGAAAATGTGACTTTCTATGATTTTATGTGATCAAGAATAACACATTCATTATGTTAAAGTGTCTTTCAAAGACTTAGAAGGAGAAATTTGAGATTTCGAGCCATATGTCTCAAGAAAATGCGTTCAGGTGCCAAAAACAGCTGATCAAAGGATATATATCATTTTTTAATTGAAATTTTTTGTTGAGCCCTGCATTTTTAACACTGTTTTGACAGGAAGTCATACCCAAAATGAAAACTGGATAAAACAACATTTACCCTAAATGTAGATCAAAATACTTACTCAGACATGCAAAATGTTATTATTAGTCGTAATGCTGATCATTTTTAAGAAATTTAAGCACGATTATATAGATAAAGAATTTCTTCCCACGGAAAATTTTGCCTCTATGGTGCAGTAGTTAGAGCATATATCCCAAGATTTTTATTCCAAAAGATCTAGGTTCAAATCCCACAAGTGGGATATGTTTTTATTCTTTATTTTTGTTTTTTTTCATTTTGATCCACAATATTTCTAAAATAAATTTTATATATGGCACTTAAACCATATTTAGTATTTCCAAGGGTTTTAATTTTTAAATTATTGAAAGTTACCTTTAACTAGATCTGCTACAATCTTGGATAACTCTTTAAAAATGTTTACTACAAGTTTATATCCGTATCTAGCAAACCCCATTCGCTTATACGTCGTAACACGTTTACGATGTTATACCCAGTATTTTCGGAGGGAGATTTGTATATCTAATTTATTTCGACGTTTTGACAGAATATGGTCCTTCCCCTTTCGTGGAAACATTGACCTTACCATGCAGATATACATCTTGTATCACTATGTCTCAACATTTCGTCTGAACACGGTCTATAACTTCTCAAACCTACTAGAAAGCACGTCAATTCCTTGAAAAAAGATAACTTTTCACGAAAGCCATCATACTTTCTATAATTGTAGCCCTATCATCTTGGATCTTGGAATATTGATAATAATAACAATACCATTTTTATATATCATCTAGACACTCCAGTTTCCCAAATTAATGAAAGAATTCCGAGAAATTATTTTTTCTTTGAAACGTTTACTGCTTTCATAGCAGCTGAGCTCATGTAATGCAATGAATTACTCTTGAGCCAAGGATGTGTTCACCATGGCATTGTTACTTCTCCCCTTTCAATCGGGTTACCATCCTCCAAAACCTAACCATATCGGAAAAGAAAGTATTCTCAGTCACCATATGCATCAAATAAGTCTGTTGAGTTGAAGTCGCCACTTTCAAAGTCTTTCAAAAGACAACTGTTTCAGGAAACACGTAAGTAAATCCGGGGTTACCATAAACTTTTTAACTAGCATTTGGCTGTCCATATTGATTGTTCAATGTATACAAGTCATGCTATACAATGTCAACGTATTGTTTCCACGTCCACGCCAACCTAATTAAAAAGTATTTTGGACTGGTAAATATGTCTCTCCTGCCTTGCCCGATTCACGTCAGGTTGTGAAAATCTCTATAGGTGCAGAATAGAGCAGCAGGTTTATACAAACATCTATCCAGTAGACATACATCTATAATCATTTATTTATGCAACTTTTGTAAAAAAAAAAACAACAACAATACGATACTTAGTTACATGTATTTCGTCAATTTTTTTGCGAAACATTTACCTTTAGCTTAACTTATGCCTTTGCTTACATTTTGCCAAATTTGCTTAAACTTTGCTTTTACTTAAATGTTGCGGAATTTGCCTAAATCTGGTCAAATTTCAAAAATATCCCAGACGTTGACCAGTTTTGCTCATTTGGAACATTTGAGGGAATACTTATAATTTATATTTCTCTAATTGGCCCATTCTTTTCATAAGTCCATTTACGAGTAAATCTCTAAATAAATTTTACGTTTCAATTACCCTGAATAATTAAGTCAGCAAAATATATAGCTCAAGACCATAACAGAGCACAAACGTTAATACAGAAATTATGAAATATAGAACCGTCCAAATTTAATTCAAGGTTAGGTTATGTTATACAGTTATTTTGAATTTTCAATCACTTGCAGAATGTGCTCTTCAAATACAAGGTATATATTTATTTATTTATTTATTTATTTATTTCGATCTACACTTTTGAAACAGTGGCACGCTCTGCAATGCAAAGGTGCGTCGAATGTACATATTAAGATAAAACAATTATTACAACTTACTAAAAACATTCATTTTGAGTATTTAATATAAACTGATTTTAAAAACCTTTTAAAACACTTGTCAAACATTCTACCTTGTTCTTTCCCCCAAATTTCAAAGACATCATCCCAAAATATGCAAAATAGCATATACAACATTTTCTTAGACTTCCCAATATTATAGTTGTACAAAGGAAATTTTGGTTGATTTAAGAAAAAGTATTCAAAAAATTAAAACAAAAAAAACCAAATAGATAAAAACTAAGATAAACCTTCAATTCCATTAACAAGATACTTTTTTAAATCAACCAAACTTTCCTTTGTATAATTATAATATTGAGAGTCATAAACACGTTGTGTTTATGTCATTTTGTTCCAATGAGGTTCGGATAGATGTTTCATTCCATTCCGAACATATGATACCAAGAACAAAAGAAGTGTCCGATGTGTTTTCTAAAACAGTATAGAGAGAGGTATACCGGTATGTACCTATTTCAAAATATATTGTTTCCATTCAAAAGATGACCATTAAATTGACAATGTGTAAAATGTTCAGAATTTTTTTTATTACTGGTTTAAAGGAATATTCCTGGCCAGACCATTTCTCTCCTAATATGGTAGCTATTACCATATATATACTTTCCATATTTAGCAAAACAGGGAAAAATGTTTTGATATGGTCAATATTGATCACTTGAAAATGCAGTGCCGAATTCCAGTAGGCTGCCATCTTTTAATATTTCACTCAGGAAGTGATGTCATCGACTCTCAACTTTAACACTATAAGGAGCTATTAAGAATTACAAAACCAGCTGAATATTCTTTTTCAATTTTGTCTATGATTTAATCCTTCTAAAAGTCTCTTCTTTTATTCTAAGCTGACAAGCTCTGAACATATTTTTGCGCATAAAGTAAGGATCACTCGTCTAGAAGTGATATTTTGCTATTTTCCTATACTGTTATATGCAAGGTCATGAAAGTTGAGAGTCGATGACATCACTTCCTGAGTAAAATCTTAAAAGATGGCTGCTTACTGGAAATGAGCACTATATTTTTAAAATTATCAATATTGACTAAATTAAAACTTTTCCCCATGTTTTGCTAAATATGGAAAGTATATATATGACTATAGCTATCACATCAGGATAGAAAAGGTTTGGCCAGGAATGTTCCTTTAAGAGAAACGTGTGTTCAAAAGGTTCGCAATATCGATACCCATCTTTTAATTGTCCATTTACCTTCCATTTTTGAGAGCAATTGAATTGATGGATATTTTATAATATGACTTTTGGCAACCCAACAATTTCCCATTCGATTACATGGGTTCTGCCATTTTTTAATTTTCCTCAAATTCGACATCAATTTTTGACATATTGTAACGTATTACATTATCAGTTTTTCTTTCGTTTCAGGCTTTGAAAATAAGAGTTCAAACAGACAACATGTAAACCTATGAGGAAAAAGACTGGTCCTTAACTTTTTTGAGGAGTATATGTGTTTACAAAATGAAGCCATTTGTGTTCAATTGTTGAAACATCTTCTTCATAATCAATGCACTCGTGTGATCTCCAGCCAGTTTATAGTAATATATTATTATTGTGAGTGATCTTTATACTTGCTATATGTTCTAATAATTACAGCATGAAAAAGTATGAACACTTTTAGTAAGAGTTTTTTCTGGCGTTCAGAATTTTAGTGCATCACAGGCATTGCATCACCGGGCTCTTTGGGGGAGAAGTAAACCCTCTCAATTTTATTCTTTTTTTTCTTTTTGCTCCAAGGGACAATTTTAGCTTCCATGGCCTGGAAACTCTAATACTGACCAAACTAAAAGAAAATAAATTTATATTACCATGAACTCTTAATATTTAATACGTGTTTAGTGAGGTAAGATCAAGATAATATAAAGAAACAATGTCATGACAAACGTGGTAAACCTCCTTAGCGTCGTATATTTCAAGATGTTAGGGTCAGAACAACAGAAACTATGATCATTTTTGTAAAAATGTATGGTTAATGTTTCTACGAAAGGGAAAGAACCATTTTCTTTCAAAACGTCGAAATAAATGAGTACTTACAAATCTCCCGCTGATGAATGGCTACCCAATACACTAGATGCCAACCACTGTGAGTCTGTGACTTTCCCACATGGGGACACCTGGAGCAGCTTTTTGCAGTTAATGGTAATCCCCCACAAACTATTGATACACTAAAAGAAGTTCCGCAGAAGTGGTGAAAACTACAAGAATCGCTATATCATGCCATTGACCAATTCCGTCCTTGTCTCTGTGCGATAGTGAAGGTGAAAGGCGGATGCGCATAGAACATTTGTTGTTGTTGTTGATAAATAACCAATAGATACTAACAGTAAAACACAATACCATAGTGACTATATACTGATTTAAACCTGAACTAGACATTGGTTAAACAGTTATGAAAGATTGCAGCAGGTTTAGTTAACATAATGAATGCGTTATTGTTGGTCACATAAAACCGGTAAAACCGGTAAATCTCGGACACATGAACAATTGACCATTGATATTCAAACATCTGACAAAAGATCGAAGTCAGTTTTAGCTTAAAAATTAGTATTTGAATGGTAAAAATTTAATATGCCTATCCTCAAGTTTTTGTAAATAATTTTTATGCCTATACCTTAATGTTATGATAGTCCGTCAGCCTAGGGGGTTGGTCGGTATCAAATCAGGAGATTAATCACCATAGTGATTTTGTGGAGGGTGTAGACTCCTAGAGTAAGAAAATATGTGGTAGCATTGCAACAGTTGTAGCTAAATGGGTGTTATCAACCATTTTTCAAAATGGTCACCGTTGCACACGTATCTAAGCACACTGAGATGCAACAACTGTGATTTTAGAATTTATGTTTGAGTTTTCAGAGTCAAGGATTTCATTTATGACTACATCTAAGTCATCAAACAATTTCTTTTTATAGAAATCCAAGATTGCCGCCAAAATGGGTGCAAAAATTAATGTGTAACTGTTGATTTAAGCTCAAAAGCACTTAAGAACAGTGGTTTTGGAGCCCATGTCTACATTTTAGGGGTCAAGGATTTCATTTATGTCTAAATCTGAGTCATCAAATGATTACTTTTTAATGGAAATCCAAGATGGCCACCAAATGGGTGCCAAAATGAATATGTTAGTATTGATTTAACATCAAAAACACTAAAGAACAGTGAATTTTGAGCTTTATTGACCAAGGATCTAAATCTGAGTCATCAATAAATACTTTATATAGAAATCCAAGATGGCCAAAATGGGTGCCAAAATGAATACGTTACTTTTGATTTAAGCTCAGAGAACAGTAATTTTGGAGACAATGTCTAGGTTTTAGGGGTCGAGATTTCTTTTATGTCTAAATCTGAGTCATTAAATGATTTTGTTTCATAGAAATCCAATATGGCTGCCATATTGGTGCCAAAACGAATATATAATTATTGATTTAATTAAAAAAAACACACACTTAAGAACAGTGATTTCCGAGCCCATGTCTACATTTTAGGGGTCAAGGATTTCGTCTATGTCTAAATCTGAGTCATCAAATAATTACTTATTAATAGAAATCCAAGATTTTTCCAAAACAAAGTCATTTTGGAGACCACGGCCGGGTTTTAGGGATCAAGGATTCCATTAATGTTATAAATCTTCGCAATCAAACAATTACTTTATATAGAAATCCAAAACGAATATGTAACTTTTGATTTAAGCTCAAAGAAAGTTAACAACAGTCATTTTGGAGACCATGGCTAGGTTTTAAGGGTCAAGGATTCCATTAATGTTATAAATCTTCTTCGTTATCAAACAATTACTTTATATAGAAATCCAAGATGGCAACCAAAATGGGCTACAAATTCACTGTTATAAAGTGTTGTTTTTTAGTTTAATCGAATAATTACAAATTTGTTTTGGCACCCATTTTGGCAGCCATCTTGGATTTCTATGTAAATTGATTATTTGATGACTCCGATTTAGACATAAATGAAATCCTTGACCCCTTAAACCCAAACAAAGATCCTAACAGTTTTTGTATCTCAGTATGCTTAATATACCTACATTTATATTGTAACTCACGCACCGGTGGCCATTTTGAAAAATGGGTGATAACACCCATTTGTAGCTACAACTGTTGCAATGCTATCACATATTTTCTTACTCTAGAGGTCTTTACCTTTCCAAAAATCACTATGGTGATTATTCCCCTAACTTGATACCGATAGCCTAGATTTTGGGGCAAACCTGATGGCCTATGATACTTTTTTAGCCTTTTAAAACACCTTGTATATAAATATATATGGCACTCAATATGTACCTGGTGTCTCGAAAAACTTTTGACAAGTATTTTCTTCACAAATGATAAGCCGAATAGAGCTTTTTTGTTCATTATCCTATTTACAGTAACACGTAACCCTTAACCAGCTATTTTGAGACAAAAACTGATTGCAATATGGTATTACCTGGTAATAAAATATAATATATATTTTACATATTTGTACCACAACTATCAAAAGAAATTAAATTAATTCCATTAATCTATTTTTGAGGGAAAAATACTTGTCAAAGCGACACACGTATTCGGAAACATGTAATTAATAGAGATGATAGCAAACTTTCTATAAATGACGTACTCAATGAATAATTTTCCATCCTTGAAAATCAAAAGTGTCATAAGGCAGTTGAATTCCGTACAGTTCTTTGAATGTTGAAATAACTTCTAATTGATTTCATTTATAGAATGATTCATGCTGTGGACTGGTATGCAACATTGCTCAGTATAGCTGGGGGAAAAGTAGGTATGTCAATTAGAATAGGATAGAGACCCGAAAAATCCACAAGTAAAATCAGAATTGGGGTCACATTATTTTATGCATCCAAATTAGCTATCAAATATTCCACATTTAAACTCTGATTAAAAGCAAAATTTAAGCTACTTCTTAGATAATAAAAACCCTGTCCACATCGCAAATTGTATATCATTTGTCATATACCAAGCATAGTATTCTCATGTCTAGGCTACACCTGCGATGGGTGGAATGAGTAGGAATAGGTCGATTTCTAAACTGACCAGACGCCAGTGAATTGCCTCCAATATCTTGGATTTGCCCTGAGTACGGTCAAATTAGGCAACACCATAGTACGGCAGCTTTATCAATTAGCTGGAAAAATCAAACAGAAATTAGTAGGATATCGTACACTCACGCCTTACTATCGTGTTAACAGGTGTCACCGTACAGCGTCAAAAAATACTGTAGTACAGTTTTTTGTACGGTGACGCTCTCGCCATTTTCGACCGCCATTTTATCGAAAGAAACCAACTAGAAACCATAAGACTTAAGTACTGATCCTCCTTTAAACCGTGTTTCTTTTCTTTACAGATCCAGATGCGGATGGAATTGACCAATGGGAAACCATAAGTAATGGTGCTCCTTGTAAACATAAAAAGCTTTTATGTATTTACAGACCCAGATATGGATCGTATCGACCAACGAGAAACCATGATTAATGAAGCATTTTCTTTACGTAAAAGCTCTTAGTTTTTACAGAGAATTGACCAATTATAAGTAGTGCAAGTGATGCACGTTGTCTTTACAAATCCAGATGTCGATGGAATTGACCATTGGGAAACCATGAGTAGTGATAGTGAGCTCCTTGTAAACATAAAAGCGTTTGTTGTGTCTTTACAGACCCATATGTAATTAGTATCGACCAATGGGAAACCATAATTGAGTCAGGCCACAGGAAAAGGGGTATTATCACAGATTTTTCAATATATTGTTTTTTGTTTATCTTAAAAAGCACAAAAAGACCTTTCAAATGAGCCATGACTTATGACTTAACGATGTTTCCTTGTATATATAGACCAAAATGTCGGATTTTAATTAAGCACGTTTCCTTCTTAATCTTGGGCACATTTTTTGCTCTGAAGTACAATTTTAATTTTTGTGATAAGACCGGTTTTCCTATGACCAGGCTAAATTAATGATGGATTTTCTAAACGTAAAAAGCTTAGTGTCTTTACAGATCCAGATTAAGATCTGTAGCACAATTTTAATTTATATAATTTTACAGATTTACAGCTGATTCTTAGTAGTTGGTATGACCACCAGTTGCTACTCGAACAGCAGCTTACCTGGATAGATATGATTTCAATAAAAATTCAGATAAAGGTATAGCATCGCATAATCCTTTTAGCACTTTCCTCACATTCTTCAGAATAACATCCTTACTGTATCTTGTTTTCAAGAGGCTCTTTGTTCATCAATTCCTATACCCTGTTTTTCGGAACTGACCCCATATGTCAGTGCAGTTGAAATCTGTGCTAATTCTTTCATATTACACTTTCTAAAGATTTGACCTTTAACCAGTAACAGAGCAGCAAACAAAGTGCAGAAGTAGCAAACTTTGAAACAATGAACCGGTAAATTTTTTTTGAATATAGTTTTATTAAATAAAATTTGATGAGTGAAATTATTCAAGTGATTTGTTGTTTTATTGTTTATGGGTTCTGTGATATTTGACCTATTTATTGATTATGGTGTTATAGTTGTTGTGGAATTGTCCTTTACTCAGCTGTTGATATTTAGTATTCATATGTTTCAATGTTTATCAGACCAAACTCCC